CAATGTGGTTTATTTTGGTACATTACATAAAATAGAGTGAGTCTATTTAGCGTAGTTTCATAAATAACATGCAATTTTTTGTTATAGTTCAATAAATAGTATCCTAACAATTTTCATTGTTGTAGATAAAAACAATGAAAAAACCTACAAAGAATGGTAAAACTAAGAAAAAAAAAAAAACCAAACAGAAGAAGGAATACCTCCAGTACAGATGCAACATGGCTGGGTTTGCAGATACAATGAAAGTCTACAACCTTATATTACAACAACGTCAAGATGTATGTGATGAACTAGCAAAGATGCCATTTTGGAGTCTATTGAAGACGTACATGGATGGGACTTTGATTATGTCAGAAAGGAAGCAAAAGTCCGACATAGACTTGATCAAAATCATTAACTACTACAACCCAACAAACCAAAAGTTCTAATTTGAGCATCATAAATCACATGGATTTCTAGCGATGATGTTGTCCAAATTTTTGGATTGAACAATGAATGAATCAATATGCCGAATACTGACAAATCAACCAAATTCGATGATGATGACCGCCTCATCAAAAAGTACTTCGCAGATGTCAGGATTGTCAAGAAGGCATCTTGCAAAGGCATACGAGAATGCACTTGAAGACGAAACACCTGAGATTGCACAAGATTGCTTCACTTATGCGCACACCTCATTCAATCACTGCTGTTTACAAACTCCGAAACCTACATGACCTGGAGTTTCTTGAAAATTTGTAAGAATTTACAGCAGATAAACAAGTACAACTAGGCCAAAGGAGTAAGGGACTATCTGTTCAAGATGCTTAACAAAGCAAATAAAAAAAAAGGGAGGAATGAGAAGAACCGACCACAAGTGGATGCATCGTCCTTGTTTTGGTAACTAACCAAAATAGTTAATAAAATAACATGAAATGTTTCTTATAAATTTTGCACAACAAACATCACTTCCTTAATTCATATAGTACTGGATGTCTTCACACAAATCTAGTGGAGATAATAGATGAACAAGAAAACATGATTTCGGCAATCACAAGATGAGACATAAGCATTATCCACAAAACAATCAAGGTAATCACCAATAATCAATATATTTCACTTTGAAATGGTTTTCCAACACAAAAATAATGACTTATCATATAAAATGACACCTATCTAATGTGACTGTTTGCAAATTAAGGATGTCATTCCTTTTGATCAACCACATGAAGAACCTACAAAAAAAGGACAAAAAAAAAAGGCAAATAAAAGAAAGCAACCTAATACTCAAGAGGATGAATCAAACAACGAAGATGAGTCGAACAAAGAAGACATACCACAAGAGGTACAAAACAATCTCCAAGCAAAAAAACTATCTTATATGACCAATAACATCTATAAACATTTAACTAATTCTACGGAAAAAAAAATGGTTCATTCAATGTGTCTCTTGTTCTCTTCTATAAAAAATCGTGGCTTATTATGTTTCTGTTTCATAAATAGTTTGAGTAATTAGGTTGTAGTTCCATAAATATAGTGTCTATTTCATAAACTTTGTTACTTAATTTCATAAATAGTATGTCTATTTCATAAACAGTATTGGTTAATTTCATAAATAGTGTGCATATTTCATAAACAGTGTGCTCAATTTCCAAAAAAAAATGTTGGACATTTTGTGAAAATTAGCAAAATATGTAATGTTATTATGTGCAGGCTAGTTCTGAAGTTCCTTCTGCTCAACGAGAAGAACAATCATCAAAGGCAAAAAGACATAAAAAGATAGCAAAGAAATGCAAGAAAACTGATGCCGAGATTGCTGAGGTTCATTATGAAAATGAAGGACAAAACATGAAAAACATAACTGGGCTTAATCAGAATGTCATCAATAACAATCAAGGAAATGATCAGAACGTGAACAAGAACGCGTAGCAAACTGATGAACAAGAGAATATCAGCATCAACGAAGCCTAAATAGAATTTGACAAACTATTTGGTGAGGAAATGATCAAGCTCGATGCCACTGTCCAAAGACACATCATTGGCATGGATATAGTTATGAGTGAAGAGTTATTCGATGAGTTCAAGAAAGCTAAAAGCATTGTTGAGAAAATGTATATAACCTTCAGGGAGATGATGGCACATGCAATGGATGCATCATACAGAGAATGCTTGATACTCGGCTAAACGAACAAAATGCTGAACAATGAAGTTGAAAAGCTCCTTCGAAAAGTAGAGGTTCATCAGAAGAATATCATGCATATCAAACAAGATATTAGTTTCATGAACCACTCTTTACTAAAATTGATTTTATTAAACCAGTACAATGAACAAAGAATTGAAGCAACTATGCAAAACAAGGAAATGCTCTATAAGCAATTGATGGACCAATGTGGAAAAGTATCAATGGTTTTCTTCTCATTATTTCATTACAACCACTTCTCCTTAGTAGTTTTGGACACCAATACTACAGAAATGACACATTACAATTCTCTATGACAAAGTTCAAAAGATGAAGATCTGGAATTTGATTGCTACTGGGAAAATGAAGCAAACTAAGTGTGCATCCTTAATAAACATACAAAAGTAAGTTCTCTATAAAGCAGAGAAGTAAATCACATTCATATTTTATGAAACAATAAATGGATGTAATCAATTTATATAAAATATATGATCATGGCTTCGAATTCACCTCTAGCTAAAAAGAAACTTAGTTACACATGTTCATCATAATTGAAAAGCAATCTAAAATAAACATCGAAATTTAAAACAAAGATAGAAAAAACTCTGAAAATTCCAACAACTTCAATGGATGAATGGTAGGCATGGTACACCCTAAATCGCTGCAGGAATTTCATATATATGGGGGGAATGGCTGAATCTAAGGAGGAATTTGGCATTTTTGAGTTATTTTAGGGCTCTAAAAATTAGGTAGAAAGTGTTGGAATGTGATTAGGATTCCTCCTTGCACCTGGAGATAAAATAAGATAAGATTTGATAAGATAGGATAAGATTGGATAATGTTCCTCTCCAATTAGAATTCCTTTTTCTTGTGTAATTCCTTGCCTTCCAGGCCTCAACTTTAATTTCTCCAGATTTTAGCACATGTCTAGCACCATTTAAACACCAAAAATGTTCAGCCCATATGGTATCCACGTAGGCTATCCAATCTAAGTCCAAAACTGCTCCAAATTGCTCCATTTAACTATTTATTGTCATCTTTACCAACTGGACCTCCAATAATACAAAAATAACTTAAATTACCAAAATAAATGGAAATTAACTAAGCAAATGCAAAGAAATAAGATAACAAAGTTGCATAAATATGCTCCTATCATGGTGAACCAAAACTCAACTCAAATCTTAAAGAAAAAAGTTGAGAAACTTTTATACCTTTGAAGCACCTCTTTGCTTAGCAAAGGATATTAACCCATATGAAGGCATTATTTCTTTAGTCTCCTTGCTCCTTGGCTCCATGGATGTGGATGGAGAAACTTTACTTCTTTTCATGACTTCTTGGATATGGATGAAGGAATTGATTCTCCAAGTTCCTAAGAAAGGGAACCTCTAAGTTTCCACACCAAGGAGTGCATTGAGGAAGAGATGAGTGACCTAGGAAGAAATGGATGCTAATCCATTCTTCCTAGGGTGGCTGGCCTCCTAAGAGAAGATATATCTTTTTGTGTTTTCAATTCTCCCTCACTCTATGGCCAGCCATGTGGGTTCATTGGGCTTTCATGCCCTTTGCGTTTTCAAGTTGTCATACAACTTGAGTTATTGGTCTTGACATTTGAAGCCCATTGGGCCTTGAGGCCCAAAACTAACACGAGGTCTAAAACAAACTTATTCGTTTGATTAATTAACATATTAATTAATCATAGGCATAAATAATTAAACCATTTAATTATCCTTACTTATCTCCATTGTTTCTTCATTCTCTACCTTACACGGTGTACGATCCATTAGGTTTCTTTTAGCAAGGCAATGGGTGATTATAACTCTTCAAATCGATTGTGAATTGAAACTTACTTTTCAATTCTCCCTTTAGTGATTATACACCTTTAGATTGCTTACAAACCATGAGTGACACCTAGCAGTATGTCATGACTACCCAAGCTAATCAAAAGAGGTTGGAGAACCCATTTAATCGTCGATTGTCGTTTACACTCTATTCTTGTCATCGGATTTCATTTTTCAGATTTTCTTTTTTGGAAATATGATCTTTTAGCATATACAGAAAAATGAAAGGTTCAAATATTTAATATCACGTTCCGATGTTTATAGTTAACTGAAATATGGAGTCGATCTTTGATGTGACGTTCCAAACAATATTTTCACTAACCATAAAAATCTGAAAATGTTATCAACGATCCGAATTGTTCATCTTTCTGCGTTCGCTAAAAGTTCATGTATCAACAAAGAAAATTTGAAAAAATGAAATTCAGTGAGAAGAATAGAGCGTAAACTTAAACGACAATAGATTTCTTGAATACAATAGATAATGCCAAAGTTCCAATACCATTTCCCTTGTTGATCGATGAAAATTAAAGGGTTTTATTATAAAAAAAAATAATAATAATAAAAAAATTAAAATTGAAAAAAAAAAAAAAAAAAAAAAAAAACATGTGCAAGCTTTGAGTCTCATTGGCAAGGTTTTGACTTTTAAGAAAGGATCCACAATCTTGAAAAAAAACTTCATTTTGCATATCCTTGAATATTTGTTATTTTGTAGTAATGTAATGTTTTTTCATTAGGCTCTTATTTTGGGTATATAATACTTGAAAGACAAAAGTGTTTTTATGTTATGAAGTAATATTTATGTGACAACGTGGTATGTAGATACTAATTTAGTATTATGTTTTTCATTTGATTATTTATTGATTTAAATATATTTTTTTTAACTTATAGTGGGTCAAGTCATATTACCGGTTAATATAAACGGATCGAGTTTGGGTCGAGTTTGGGTCGGATCATCAAACATGGTTTCAGAAATATGCTAACTCTAGAATCAGATTATTAATTTAAACAGGTATGTACAAAGCTCATCATCTCTTATGAATGGTGAACAAACGAAACCACTTCAAGCATAAAGTGATATCCAAAGCTTTTCAATCCGGCATTGAACACTTACACGTCTACAGATGACAAAACTCATGAGATAGGAATTATGACCTAAATACAGTTGCAACAACGAAAATGTCTCTACACTTAATATCTGAAAATTTGGACTACATAGGCCAACTCAATTGCCATCCAACCAAGCTCTACGCCCACTTACCCATTGAAATAAGCCCAGCTCAAATGACACTTTACATTAGAGTTGATTAAGGTGACAAACTAAATTCTTAAATGCTAAACCCTACACTCTAAAACATAACTGTTTTAGGACAATACCAACAAACAAATTACAAGTAGATGATCATGATCCTATTTGCACATGACCAGTTGTTCTTTTGTTTCCACTTTGTTGGAGGAGGTGTATGGTTCAACCCATACGGATGGGATGACAATGTATAAAGCTATTTTGTTAATATCCTATCATTTGTCAAATAACAATAAGCTAGATGATCCTACTTCTGTTATCCACCCATGTGGACAGGATATTGTAGTATACAATTCATGCATTTGACAAAGCAAAAAAAAAAAATTTAGAAACAAACCTCTGAGACTACGAGCAGGGATTCAATGTCATCAAAGCTGGGAATTGGAATGCTCCCAAATATGGGGTCATTGGCTCTTGATGGAATCCAAAAGGGGAAAGACAGGGCTTTTCTAGCTTTCTTTTTTGAGTATTTGAATTAGTTGGAGGATTCACAAAGTCACTGTTATCAGTTTTTTCTTGAACAAGGTTTGAATCTCCCTCCTCTATTGCATTGTCCATCTATGCAGAAATAGATAAACAATCAACTATTAAATTTCGGAATTGAATAATAAGGAAAGTTGCAGAATCATTTTAGATTTTGTACCTTGATTTGAATATTTTTTTATCTTTTGTAAGCGTTTATGGAGTATGTGGAGGTCCCATCTCACTGCAGTGGGTTCACTTTTCTCCCTCCCTTCAATCGGTTTGATCATATTTCCTCGATCGCACAACCAATACTGTAAAAATTGGGGTAATGGATTAGTCATGGAAATATCTGATAAATGCACATGTAAAAATTGTGCTATTAATAGAGAACCATACCAAGATGCACATGTAAAAACAATCCAATGATAAACACCATGAAGTAGGAAATAAGTGTTGCTCGAATAGTTCAAAGGAATATCTTCTGTAAAAAGAGTTAACTGATAATCTTATGTAATATTGAGTTTGAGTTTCGTTTTCCTTTTCTCACCAGCAGAGTCATGACGCATCCACTTATTGCAGATTGTTTCCCTTTCTCCTCAGTTTTGACTGAGCTTTGTGGATTCCGTTTTGAAGGTATTCTTTTATCTCTCTTGCCCAATTATATGTCTTTATCTGTTCTACACTCTCACAAGCTTGGACGTAACTCCATGGCAGGTAGTTTCCAGAATTTGCAAGCAATAAAGTGATAAGTAAGTACAACACTATTAAACATGCTGCATCATCTTGCCCTCTCTCTGAATCACCTTCAAATGCAAGTTCAATTGCATTAGAGAGATCCCTCTTGTCGGGTCTTGCCGTTGCACTGAAGAACTTGTCTGTTAATCGAGAAACACCTGGTTTTCCCTTTCTTGAATTTGTTGTTTTTGGTGCTTCTGTTCCTTTGTTCGGTATCCCATAAATCCGCACAACATCTTCAGTAGTGATATGACTATATCCATTTTGAAACTTGAACTTTTTCTTTGTTGTGTCATACCATTTGCAAACTTCTTTGACATCCAAATTTGACTTTCTTACCGTCATTTTCCCTTCTTGATACGCCTTTATCAGTGCTCCAAATGGTGTGCTGTAAAGCTTCTTCAAGACAAGCGGCTTTTGTTCAAATATGTTCTTCAACTCAGCCATTTTCTCACCAAATCCAACCATAGTGCACTTGAACTGGGCATATTCACTGTTTTTAGTCATTGGCACTTTTCTTCTGTCTTCCTTTTGTGTCACATCAATTGAATCGTTCTGATCTAGCTTCTTTGTTTATGTACTACGTCTTTGATCCTCGGCTGGTTCTTCCATCATTTGATACAAATATAGTAAATAAATGGAGGTATTTTGAAGAAATAATCGTGCATAAACAATGAAGAAACAGTACAGAACAATTTGGAGTTCAAATTGAAACTCAAATACAGATTGAGCAACCGAAAAAACAGATAATAAAACTATTCAAATAAAGAAATCTAAAAACAGTAGAACAAAAACACTTACCAACTCAAATAATCCCAAAACGTAATTTTGTAACTACATAAGCCAACTCTAAGGCCATCTATCTATCGACCCTCTACACCCACTCCACATTATAGTTGAAGCGCACAAAGAAAATATTTTGTTCCGAATGAACAAAGCAACAGGCCTTTTTTTATTATCCCAATTTAGAGGGATACTCGAGTCAAAGTTTCATTTTTGTACTCTACTCGTTCCTTGAAGATCCAATTAATTAACAGTAATGAGAGAATGTTTGGTCTGGAACGTTATAACATGTTGTCCAATATCCTAGTGGATAAGTTCTGAGTTAGAAACTCCACCCTTCTCCGAATTATTGTTATAATTTAGAATTCTCCCCTCCCCCTCCCCCCTCCCCTCCAAGCTAAATTCTTAAACGCTAAAACCTACACTCTAAAACATTATCAGTTTAGGATAATACCAACATACAAAGTATATGTAGATGATCATAATCCTATTAATCCATGCGGGGAGGACAATGTAGTTTCCAATTCATGCGTTTTCCAAAGCCAAAAATGTACAATTAAATTTTTAAAAAAGATATAAAAGATGAATTTGTACAGAAAACAAACTCTGAGAAAACACGAGTTGGGAATTGGCGTGCTCCCAGATATGGGCTCTGCGGCTCTTGGAATCAGATAAGGGAAACCTGCTCTTTAAATGTCAAGACTCTCCCTCTCTCTCCATCTCTCCCCTCCGAGTCAAACTAATTGAAATCGGGTCCGGGTTTTGGACATGATTGAAATGTGACCCTGTCACTCTCGCATTTTTGGGCTGATTGCAAATACAAACAAAGTGCTCGAAATCATTAACAACTTCGCCCAAAAAGAAAGAAATTTGTTCATGTACTTGCAATTAATTGAGTAGTCTGATATCCAAACATCTATTTTTACTTTTTATACATTATTTTAATTTTCAATCGTCAGATCGAATGAATTGATGACGATCAAAGACATAAATTAATTAGGAGTGTGAGAGAAGTAAATAGAGTCTTAACTTATCATTACAATAAAAATATCATAATTAAAATTTCTCATTTGCTTTATCATTGTCTAAAATTATATATGCAAAGAATGGTTCAATTTGAATATCGCTTATCCATTCATGTGTGTCAAACCAATCAATAGTTTTCGTAGCAAATAGCTTCATCATGATGAACTGTTCATTTTTTTTATGCATAAAAATGACTAAAAGATGAACACTTGCATATGATCTTTAGATAATGATATTCTACACAAAATTCGGTCAAATTTTATACACGGAAAAAAAATACTACTAACCAAATTGATTAACCCCAAGTCGAACTGAACAAATGATTATTATTATTATTATTATTATTATTATTATTATTATTATTTGTGGTATTGGTCAAGTAACAAATGGTTTATGAATTGAGGATGGATATATATTTTGTTTTCTTTTAATTAATAACCATTCACGAAATTCGAACTCATAGCATTCTTCAATAGAATAAAGATCTAGTGTCGTTAGACTAAATTACCAACTCTCTTATTTGTAGCATTTAATGCACATACGTACTCAATGATGAAATCAACAAGAGGGTAGTTGTTCTGATTCTCTTTCCTTACTTCTCCTATTTTTAAGTTTTCAAATTCATTCATTTTCTCATTTCTTTTAATTTAACAACCATTCACAAAATTCAAACTCATAACATTCTTCAATAGAATGCAAATCCAGTGTCGCTAGATCAAATTACCAACTCTCTCATTTGTAATATTTAATGTGCATCCTTACTCAATGTATAAAATCAAATCTACGAGTGGGTAGTTGTTCTGATTTCTTTTCGTTCTTCTATTTTTAAGCTTTTCGATTTCTCATTTCTGTTAAGTAAACATGCCTATATGTGCAAATCAAAGAAGATGATATCCCAATAGAACACAATAACGTGAGTCAGTGAGTGAGTGGAGATATTGTAGGAATCCTTTATTAGGAATGATATATATTGTGTTTACTGTTTTCCTTGTATGACAAGGATTGTATGTGTATAAATTGTGAAGTGTTAGCAAATATCATTTTTCTAGAGGGAGTTAATAGTTATGGCAGTTTTAGTACATGAAGGTCGAGCTGCGCGCAAATACAAAATTTTCTACAAATATGTATCAACGTTGCAGATTAAAGGAGAGTTAATTCCTATTTATTAGGATTTTTAAACAGTTGAAAGAAGTCAAAAAACCTGAAAGCAAATAAATAAGGATTTTTGATATAACGGGACATAAAGAGACTTCAAAGCTCACTAGGAGAGAAGAAAAGAAGGCCATTCAAGCCTTGGGCTGTTACAAAATGAAAAGGGATAATATCCCTTATCAGGAAGTGAAGCAAGGCAGCGGGAGAATAAATAGAAAAAGAAGAAATGCAAAGGCAGTAGCAGCCATAAGAATAGAGAACGAGGCAGCCACGGTAGAAAAGGAAAAAGAGGAAGGATCAGAGCATCATTTCGCACCTCGTCATTTTTGCTGCCTATTTACATTATAAATAACTAAATTCCGTAGTTGAGACTTGATTGAAGTCCTGATAATGTTTCTTTGAGTATTTTTTATTCACTTTTGTTACAAAAACAAGACAATTTGTTGATGTTTTAATGGTTAATTCTTATTTTAATTCTAATCTTATTGAGTTGTTTTATGCTTAATCACCATAGAATAGCTTTGTAATTGAGTTCATTACATAGGTAAATTTGGATGACCCACTCTTGTACCTATGTTGAGTAGGCCTGACAATTTCTTACACGACTTGTTAACCAGACACGACATGACACAAAATTAACAAATTTTCAGGTCGACACAATAATGAATCAGGTCGTTATCAGGTAACCCGATAAGCATCTGTTAAGATAACGGGTCAGTTCAGGTATACACATGAGTAACTTGTTACACGATAAGAAAAATATTAATTAAATACTTTTATAATGCTAAAAAGAAATACTATAATTAAATAGTAGGATCTAATGCCGAACTGAACTGAAAGTTAAAATATAAATATGTGTGTGTGTGTGTGTATTTTCAAAAAGAAAAAAAATTAGAAACTTGATGACCGTTGGATTGGCTGAGATTTAATCTCGACCATCCAATGTTTGTCTCAACCCTAAATCAGACTCTCTCTCATTCTCAATGGCTCGAATTGAAGCGGCCGCTCTCTTTCTCTCGAACTAAACTCTTTAATCTCAGTCTTAAACCTCAACTCCGGCCAGCCATGAGTCCACGACCACCCTCTCCAGTCTCCCTCCACCACACCACTGTCACCACATATGACCTAGTAACCCACCACCAGTCGATCTGCTAATTTTGTCTCTGATTCCCTCTCTGGATCGGGCAAATCTAGAGCCCTAATCAAGGTAATTGTTGATTCTTTCGAATTACTTTCAAAATATAGGGTTGTGCTTCGAATTAGTTTTCAAATTAAGATTGGTTTCGTTTCTTCAATTTGAGGTTTTTCGTTATGAATAAGTTTTTGTAGTAATATTTCTGTGGCAATGTGGTATGAGCAAATTTAGAAAAATATATATTTTTCTTAGTGGGTCGGGTCATTTTACCTATTGGATAAAATAACCTGACTTGTTAAGAACCCATTAAGATAATGGGTGTGACACGATACGACCCGTTAAGATAACAGGTTTTACACAAAAATGACATGAACATGGAAAACACGACTTGTTTGTCAGGCCTAATGCCGAGTAAAAAGAGAACTAGTTACGGTTCTTGGAATTAATTATCATGAATAACTGGAATAGATACCATATTCTAGGATTCACGTGTTTGTCGATTTCCATTGTATTATGCTTTCTCGAAGTGCAACTTGGTAGATACCATGCTAAATACTTTGAGAATGAAAAGAGTTAGAGTAGGCACCCATGCCTAATTCATTGTTTAGGGAAATCAACAACTTAAAGAGTAGATACCATGCGCTTAGGTTGACAAACGTTAAGCATCTAAAATTGTTTTTTGTATCATTGTGTGAATCGATTGCTTAAGCGAAAAATATTAGAGATGGAAACCTAAGTCCTAGCCTTTCAGACATTGTTTTCAAAACCCTTATTGCCAGTTTTATTTGCCTACGTTCTTTATATTGTGTTTCTATACTTTTAGATTCAAGTCATCTCAAACTATTTTGTTGAATCCTTTTTGTGCATATTTGTTAGCTATTGTGAAAGAATTAATATAAATTGTTAGGAATCATAACCTAGATACATATTAGTGCAATCCTCATGGGAATGATCTCGTACTTTCTTTCTATACTATGTGTTTGATCTTGTGCACTTGTAAGTTTAAAATGTGAAATTATTAGCCTAATATTTGTTCGATGAGAAGCTCTTGTTGAACAAATTGAATGCTGAGACAATGAGGAGTAGCAATGATGAATGCTATCCAACATTTTTTTTGTTGCTCCAATATGTCATTGCATTCCTTTAATGGATTTCCAGTTGAATGCCGAGGAGACAGAAGCGGGTGACTGTATTGTCATTATCTGGTGTAACGTCTGTTGAATAAGAAGAGTATCCAAGATAACTCTAATGATCCCAAGAAGAAGAAAATAGAGCACACTTTTAAAGAAAGCTCACAAAACAAACTAATTAGCAAAGCTTTTCTTATTTAGCTCTAGGCTTTGTTTTTCCTTGGATGATATACAATGCTTGGGGACTTGGGTATTTATAGCAAACCAAATGAAAGCTACACCACACACTTAATTAAACTAAGATTATTTACTACCACACAAAACCCATTAATTGCACCTAATTTTTTCCACTCAACCATACCTAACATTGCCTAACTTTGCAATTGTAAGCAATTACATCATCAAACTAGATATGGACTTGGACTTTAGATTGGGTTGTGGATTACTTATGGTTTTGGGCTGACATTGATTCTCAACACTCCCCCTCAATGTCAGCTCTCATTCTTTGCACTGTGCTGAGCAGACAGCGAAAATTTTCGAGCTTGCCTGTACTTAAACTTTTTGCGAACAAGTCCGCAACTTGATCATTCGTCTTAACCTGTCTCATCTCAATCTCTTCTTGTAGAACCTTTTCTCTGATAAAGTGGTAGTGCACTTCCATATGTTTAGTTCTTGCATGAAAGACTGGATTTTCCGCCAAGCGAATGGCCGATTGGTTATCACAGTACAATGGTACTGGATAATCTACTGGTTGATGTAGATCACTCATCAACTG